ATCAGGCTAAGGTAAACAAAAGGGGAGAGGAGAAAAGGGCTGAAAGGAGAGGTTAGAATGGCTGCTCCAGCCTTGTTTAGCATGACAAAACGGCTCTTACAAATGAGGACAATTAAAGGAGCTGGCTTCGGGAGGGCCTGGGAGCAGCGGGGCGATCCGCTGGGACGCGCGGGGCTGAATGCGCCCGGCGTGGGGCAGGGAGGCGCGGCGCGGAGCCGGGAGCGCCAAGTGCTGATTTAACCCCAGCTGACAGTTGCTGTCATTCTGGGTGATAACACCGATAGCTCAGTGTCCTTTAACATCCACCCAGATTAGGCTGACAATGGTCGGAGCGAGAGTGAGGCGGGGAAAGAGCCTGCCCGCGGCCCGCCGGGCTCCGCAGGAGAAGGGGGCAGAGCAGCCAGAGGGGAGCACTGTGTCCGCCCCCTGGTCCCCACCGCAACAGAGCTTTGGTGGGAGCCTCCGTACTCCTGAGCCAGCCGGGCCGGGCCAAGGCGCACGTCCGGGCGCTGCTCCCGGGGGCGGCCCCGGCGGCTGCGGAGAGGAGCAGGCTCGGTGGGGACCAGGGTGCTCGGGGCAAAATCGGGGCGAGGTGGGCGAGTGCGAAGAGACTGGGATGGAAACTTTAGCGGGGATCTTCCTACTTCCTTTTCTTCTTGATTCTTTCCGCCTTTCTTTTCTTTTTTTTTTGCTTCTTTGCTCTTTCTTTCCTCCTTCCTTTTTTGCTTATTTCCTCCCTTTCTTTGCTTCTTCCCTTCTTTCTTTCTTTCCTCCTTTCTTTCCCTTTTTTCCTTCTTTCATTTTCTTCTTTCTCTCTTTCTTGTCTTCGTGTATTTGTTTTTCTCTCCCTTTATTCTCTCCATCTGTCTTCCTCCCTCATTTTCTCCTTTTCTCTTTCTTTCCTTCCGTTCTTTCTTTCTCTTCCTTTCTTTATCTTTTTCCCCTTTTTTACTCTATTTGCTTGCTTCTATATTCCTGCTCCTCGTTCCCTTTCCCTTTCTCTCTTGTCTACCCCCTCCTGGCCCTCTCGCCCTGCCATACCTCCCCTCCACAGCCCCTGCTCGCCGTGTGTTCCGTTTCCATTTACTCCGCCGTATTATTCCTCCAACTTTCTCGCCTGTCTGCAGGTGTGTAGCTATTTAACTCGTGGAGATAAATAAATTAAATAATGATCTTGACACTGCAATGAACCGATTACTGACTTTGATGTCAAAGGGAAACTAAAAACAGAAAGAAAGGGGGAGAGAGAGAGGGAGGAAAAAAGCTATTCCCTCGAGGGGAAAATGCAGCTCCTTGTCAAACCTGTTTCCCCACAACTGTCTCCTTCTTTCAATAAAATCATTAAACAAAGGCCGCGGGGTTATGCGCACCACGCCTTGGGTGCGCGGCCGGGCGCTGTCCTGGGCCGGGCTGTCCCGCGGAGCCTCTCCCGCACCCGCGCAGCCTCGCGGAGCTGAGCGCAGCCGAGCGGAGCCACTCTCCGGGAGAGGACCGGCGAACAGCTGCCCCGGTCCCGAGCCGTTCCCCACCACCGGGCCCTCTCACCCCCCGCAGCTCCCCTCTGCCCTCTTTCCTTTCCTTCCTTTTCTCTTTTTCTTCTTTTCTTTTTTTTCTTTTTCTTTTTTCTCTTTTCTTTTCCTTTAGCCTCTCGTCTCCTCTCTCCCCGGAAAATGGTTCTGTTTTGGCTCAGCGCTGCCTGCAGGACCACCTAGACACTTAAAGGCATCCATCCTGGCCTTCCTTTAAGCAAAACAACAAATAGAAAGAGGAAAGAAGTTGGGAGGCAGAAGGAACCGGGAGAGCCCTAGCTGGTGCCCAGGTGCTGCCACGCGATCGCCAGGGAGCTCTGCTCGCAGGAGAGACAAAGGCAGAAAAGGAATTATATGATGTTAAAAAACTTTATTTTAAAGGATACATTAAGCCCCTAGACGTCTCTGAGAGATCCTACTTATTTCTGCTTATTAGTGATAATAGCCCGGTAAATTTGCTATTGAGTGTATCAAAGGCATTCAAAGAGACTTTGAAACATCAAAAAGATTGCAATTCTGATTTTACGGTTTTATTCCAGGCCCGACCTCCTGGCTACATCCGTTGATTGTAGTGTTTAAAAGTAAGCGGTGATCAGAAACACATCCTCCTCCTCTTCCGCTCCCAGCAGCCCCGGCCGGCAGCACCGCACCGGGCCGGGGACCCACACGTGGGGCTCCGGCAGCGCCGGCTCTGTGCTTCGCTGCTGCTCCGACTTCCGAGGGCAGAGAACTCGGCCCTGGAGGAGAGCAAGCAGGAGGGTCCCCCCACCCGGAGGGTGCTCACCGCCTCCCTTAGAAAACAAATCAAAACACAGAAAATGCTTTAAAACACGATAAAATTACTACTGAGCTAACTATAGCCCAGCCCGCTGCTGCTACCTCTCCCCCCTCGGGCCGCGGGGGAAGAGCGGGCTGCATTTTCCGCGCTGCTCCTCGCTGCGGAGTGAGGCAGCCTCTGCCACTGCTTTTGATGTGTCTGTAATTTACGTTTCCCCCCCGCCTTTCTTTCTCTTTCCGTCCTTAATTTTGCTTCCGTGTCTCTTCTTCCTTCACACGCCTCTGTTCTAGTTGGGGTGTTTTATACCAACATCAAAGGGACAACCCAGCCTTTATTATCTCCCCCCCCCCTTTCCTTCCCTTTTTATTAGGGCAAAATACTTCGTTATTACTGAATGCGCCGCATTTGGAAAGCTAAACAAGAAGTAACGTGCAGGGTCGGTGCATGTCCACACTGCAACGAGCCAACATGTGTATGCCTAAAAGCCTAGAAATTAAATACAGGTTGATCCAATTTAAAAAGGAGAGCGAGGGAGAGGGAGCCGGCTCTTTGAGTGCGTGAGAGAAAGAGGGAAAGAGATGAGTAGCTGGTAATTATTGAAATATAAGGATGAGATTAATTCAAAGGAAACAAACTATGAAAACAATTGGAGCCGAGTGAAAAGCAAAACCCAGATTAGAATTTGCTTGTGGTTTGTTGTCTGTCTGCTTTCTTTCCTCCTTCCCACCCATTGTCACAGTGCAAGGCAATGGGATTTGCACACTTGAGGTGTAATAGCATTACTGCATTAATTAAAATTTTCATTTCACGTCCAGATTGTTTACTTATCTGCTGGAAACATATGTCGGGAGAAGTTGAGATTCTGGATTCTGCTCCGCTGCCCAAGGTGCAGCGCAGTACAGGGGGGGAGAGGATGACTTCAGATTTTTTTCTTTTCCATTGCATCCTCCAGCCTTATCTCTTCGCTGTAAATTATAAGGAGACTCCATTGAACTGAATATGAAGATTATATTTGCAACGGCGCGTCCTAGAGCGGACCCGGTCCCACTTTGAGATGAAACAAGACGTCTTGCGGGCCCTGAGCCTCCCCCCCCTCCTCCCTCCCCGTGCCACCTCAGTTCCTTTGGTCCGGGGCGGGGGGGGGGGGGGGATGGGACCCCCCGACATCTACCCTGTCCGGTGGAGAGGGAGGGAGAGCAGCGATGATCCCCTCTCCTCCCGGGATAGCCCTCCGCTTCTCCCCGCTCCCGCCCGGGAAGCAGCGCTGCGAAACGGGACCCTCCCCCACCTCCCAAAAGCCGTGCTTTCCGAAGCGGCCCCCAAAGAACCCACAGCCGGGGGTGTGTGGCTGAGCAGCCCCGTCCCTGCTGTCGGGACAGCGGCCGCACCGTCGGGGAGGGCGCTGCAGCGAAGCCGGTGCTCTGTGCGGGGCAGCGCAGCGAGGGGTGTCCTGGCGCCTGCAGCGCTCAGGTGCTGTTGGTGAGAGCCGCCTGTTTATCTGCCTCCCCCCCTTTATCTCTTTTATTTGCCTTTTTCGGGGTGTGTGTGAGGGTATTATTATTACTATTATTATTATTTTGCCCTTTTTATTTATTTATTTTTTTTAAGAGACCCCTGAGAAGGCAGCGAGGTGCTGTCCTGTCTGCCGGGTCTATCTGTAATTGAATCTAGGTCAGTTATTCTAAAGCATGGGAGAGTCTGATTCCCTCTTTCCGACATCAGCCCGGAATTTGGGGGGGGGGGGGGGGGGGAAGGAGAGAAAGGGAGAAGAGGGGGGTCTTGCAATTTCATTTAAAATGTAATGGTGGATGAACCGATAAGCAAATAGGGGAAAAAAAGGGCTCTGCTTAAAAGAAAAAAAAAAAAGGCATGCTTTTAATATGCTTCCAGATGGGGGCAAAATGATTTACATGGGAGTTTATTTCCTCTTTGCTGATATGAAAGAATTACAGATACAAAACCCACTGATCTATAGAATAAAAAAAAAAAGAAAAGAAATGTTATTTTCCTGTAAAAGTATCAGTTCATTTATATTCATTTAACCATCCATCCATCAATTCACTTTCTCACTCTCTGCACATTCTCTCTGCCTCTGGTAAACCTACCCCACCAATATACTTTTCTGGAATATACAATGAAGTTTCCTTAAGAAAAAAAAAAAAAAGAAAATAATATGAGATTCAGCTGAAGTAGCTAAAGCGAAGTTTCCCTTCTTTCCCCACCCAGCCCCTGTTTTATGTTACAGACTTTGAGTAAATCAGCAATGTGGAAAAGAAAATGTTTGAGTTTGGGGAAAAAAAAGTCTGTGTATATCTGTAAATAATATATGCAATACAGATGTTCTATATGCCCCTACATGTGTATATATAATATATATAGAGCGGAGTTTGTGTGCTCAACATGTATGTATTGTGTCTCTATACTTATGTTGTACAAACAGTTCATTCCCTCCCTATGTGCGTGCCTCTAAAATAAAATATACACATATTGTACAGATATTTACAGCATTCATATATCGTAAGTACACGTAAGTAGATTTAAACATACATCCAGCTGTATATATGCACAATATATATGATCCCTATGCACATGCACATGCAATGGCAACATCTCTCTCAATAGGAGCAGAATGTTTGTATTTAAACATAAAATATTTTCTTACATTCTTAACATGTATCCTTTATGAGCATTGAGGCACATAGAGCCTCCTCCGTCCACATATAGAGGGAGTGCAATACTGGAGGGCAGGAATCAGCCTGATGGCCTCAGACCTTCACAATGTAAAGGCCACATCTGTGTTTTTTGCATTTGGGATGGTACCTGAACCTGAGGTGCCATTTCTTTTATAGAAGTAGTGACCAGAGAGCAAACCTCTTTCACTCTTAGTAACAGCTTCAATTACTAAAGCAAAGCTGCCCTAGGTGAGCTCTTTCCCCTGGCTGCTGCTTGCTAGGGCTGTACCCTGCAGGAGGTGGCTTCTGTCTTCCCGTGCTCTCAGCATGGTGGCCCTTACTCGCAGGAATAGTTACAAGGAGGATAAGGCTGTGCACCCAAAGATGGAGGAGGCTGCTAAATCATCCATCATTTCCTGGAGACCTTCAGGCTGGAGGGATGCGGAATAATTTCTTTTTGTGGTCTAAACATAGAATCAAAAGCTGTGCAAGGAGTTGCCTTTTTGTTGTTAAAAACAGGTAAATAGAGAGACAGCTAGATATGAAAATACCTATATATACAGATAAAAATATACATCTTTATCTTCAGCTACATATGGATATAGATCCAAATGTAATTTTTCTCATGGCTGCCATTAAGAAGAGCCTCAGCCAGGGCTTGGGGGGTCCTCACCATTCTGTTTTTCAAATCCGTGTATAAATAAACTAACCAGCCAATCACCCCAAGATCAAACAACCTGGTGAAAACAGCTACCTCATGGATGCCTGCCCCGTGCAGATCCCCTGTACAACTGTGAACCGGATCAAAGGCTGGAGTTACCAGATCCCTTATTGTAAGTGACACTTGCAAATGTTAACCCTGCTTCGTGTTTCCAACCCATACCTGAATAAATGCATAATCATATCACACAGCATAATTAATAAGAGTATCACCATGAAGGACTCTTAAAGGAAAGGCTGTTGAAAGAGAGTTCCTGAAGATAATCCTTTTAAAAGGTTTCCTTAAAATGCAACCACTAGCGGGAATAAGGTAGGTTTAGTTCCAATGTCTCAATACCTCTGGTTAGCACAGTTTTAGATCTTGTAAATGTCTTTCCTTTAATAGTGGCTTGACTTTTGATTTGGGACTTGCACTTTTTTGGAGGATCTCATTGCTGCTGTGGTTCTCAATGGAGAAGGTCCCCAGAGGAGGCCCAGCCTGGCTCCCCTTTCCATTGACCCATCGGGGACTCACAACCTCGTTTCTGCTGGAAATCAAACATGACTGCGTCTTGCCTGCTTGTAATAACCTGTCTAACTTCACCATTCTGGAGCAAGAACTGATGTCCCGCACTTTTATTTAATTTGAGTAATTTTCAGGGTGCTGCTTAATTTGTCTTTTTTCCTTATCCTGGATGGCACCCCAACTCCTGGGCCACGGAAACGGGGCTCGGCTTCTCCCAAGCTCTTTGCTTAGTGGTGTTGCTTGAGTCCTCCATTGTGCTTAGAAAAGTCCTGCGTGGCATCCACTGCCAGAGTCGGTAAGTAAATCGCTGGGGTTTTGTGCTTTTACAAATGATGTCTGTGTGAAATGAGGAGATACATGTGATACAGCAAGCTCTGCTCTCAGAACCCTTCTCCTTCCTCAGTTTACCATCCCATGTATTCTTTCCATGATTATTTTGCATGCTCACATTGCTTAGGCTGTGTGGTGGTGGGTAAAACTTGAGGAGCTCAGTGCTTACAGGGGAGTAGACCCCTGTTAGGAAGCCCTGGTCCTGCCTTTAGGAAGGAAAAGGTCCTACCTTTTGCTGTCATTGCTTGTCTAGAGCTTCAGCCCAGGATTCTTCTTGCTGATTTTCAGCAGGAAAAGTTTAGATTTGTGAAAAATGTCATCATACTGGCATGGAAATAAGTGAGGGCTTTTGGAGTAAGAAATGATGGACACATCCTCCCAACAGGAATAAGTAAAAAATACAAAATAAATATTACATTCATTTAAATCAGACTTTTTGTTGGCTTGTTTGTTTCTTTGCCCTAGATCTGTGGATAATCCTTTAGAATATCCCAGTCCAATTTTATCAGTTGGTGACAGGTTTGGTGTCCAAACTCTCTTACCCCACAAGGAATTTTTTGCCTCTGGAAAACTAGGAAGCATACCCAGCAGAGTGCAGACCAGGCTGTCACATTGTGGTCGTGTGCATGAGGGAAAGCAGGATCAGGGCAGCATAAGAGGTCATGTTCCTGGTGGTTCAAAATGATTTTAGGTCTTTTGGCTTCGAAGTAACCACACAAAGCAGTCCACCCCCAGGAAAGCTTTGCAAACCAAACCCACTGTGGTATGAAGGAGGACTGAAATGTACTTGCACCCTACTTGCCCAGGTTTTATTTTCCCTGGTTTATCTCTTAGCTGTAACTGCACTATCACATCTGAGCTTTCTCCAGCATTTTTTTTTCTCGTCAAGGTTAGAGACCTCTGATTTAGAGTATTTAATTGCTTGTAATTTCTCCTAATTTTCATGTAGTCATTTTTAATGTTTGCCTCTTTCCTTCCCTGTGAGCTATTAGTGTGAGTCATTTTGTTTCTTGACACAGGCAAGGGTTTTTCCCCCTCTCCTTTTCCATCCAACCCTACTTATATGGGAACTCCCCAGCCAGGTAGGGAAAGGAGAAAGGGAATTAGATCTTTATCAGAAACTTACTTTCACCTAAGATTTCTTTAGATCAGTAAGTTAAACAGGGGCCAACAAAAGGCAAATTAATGTTTTCTTCCCCTCTTAGAAATAACCCCCCTGCAGCCAAAAGTATTCCCTCTCCTCCTTTGGAGGCAAACCAGGAGGTGGTGTGACCGTATGTTCCTCTCTCAGATGTACCAATGTCAGTCCTCAGCAATGGTTTGATCTCATTTTTTCTCTCTTTGGCTATAGAGTGTCAGGGAAGGTAAGAACTAAATTTCTATCAGGAAAATAGAAAGAAAATAAAATAGGAAAATGGGGAAGGTGGCATTAAAAACCCCAGCGTTGCTTCAAATTCCTGCCAACTTTTCAGGCCTTTGTAACTAAGCCAAAAATAAGGCTAGAAATCCACCTTTCTTCATTTGCAGGTCACCTTGAAGGGTAGATGAGTAGCTCTTTTACTAGCATTTATTTCAAGAAGATTTCAGTGAAGAATGTAACAATGACAGAAATTCTCTGTTTCCTCACAGGTCCTCAGTTTTGTCTTGAGGATATGCAAGCGCTGGACAACCCCACACTGTGTATATTCACCCTGATGCAGCGACATAGTCTGACTTGAGGTACGAAGGAGGTATGGCACAAAGATGCTTTAGCATAATTTTTGAATCACCTCTAGGCCTCACAGCCCACACATTCATGTTCAAATAGCTGCAGGGTGGGAGGAGATGCCTACATAAAAGCGGGCAAGCAGCTGCTTTCCACTCAGATAACATCCCTCCATTTTGTGTGAGATCTTCTTGATGCTCTTGTGAAAAGAGGTGGCACTAATGCGTTTCTCTCTCCTCCCAACTGATCATTCCGCATGGAGCTGAGCCACTCCCTTCAACGTGGGGCTAAGTGGGGACAGGACCCCCAGGGTTACTTCCCTTACTGCGACATTGGGAGCAACTGCTGCCTGGAAAGAAACCATCCAGAAGGTCAAACTATGCAGGTGCTTTAGTTTAGTCAAAGTGGTTTTCACAGCCTTAATTGATAACTGTTGAGAAAATCTTCTGCTCTGCACATACGCATGCATATGTATTGACACACACACAGACATGTGTGTGTATAAATAGATCTCTTTAAATTTAAATAGATTTAAAACCAAGGACAGGAAGGTGGATAAAAGGTTCTTAGGAAAGATCTAACACATCTGCATGCACTTCTGTGGGGATTAAACGTATAGTAGGTTGCATTCAGTGCTGATGCGCCTATTAATTTGTATTTTTCATTGTTGCTTTCACGTTTGTCAAGCTTCAATGAAGGGATAATGAAGTAAATGGATGTTAACTACAAATTAATCATCCCTGCCTTGATAGCTTTAACACAGGTTCTTACTTGCGTGCTTTCTTAGCACAGAAATTGTAGCAAACTTTCTATATCTATACCAGCAAAACCAGTGGGACATTGTAACACAGCAGAGAAAGAGAAATAAAAAGAAGGGAATTGGGATGCCTTCCTCAGGAAACTGCAGATACTCATTGGAGCTGTTGAATTTGAATTGTGAGAAAGCACTGAGGAGGCTGAGGGCATGATAGTTTTGCAAGGAGAGCTTGCTGGAAACTGTGTTGATCATGGGCAGGTAGAACTTTTGGTTGCGTTTAACTCCTAAAAGGGCAGATCTTCTGAGGGTTTATTTTTCTAACTGGACTGTATCTCTTTTCGCTGTGCAGCAAAGACACATGTATTTACGTGGATGTATTTAGAAATGTGCAGGCTTTTTTTCTTTGTTGCAAACCTCCTTGCTTGACTTTGGAGCTTGATGTTTGTGAGTCTGGTCATGTTGTGGTATCTGGCATTGGGAAAGCTGGAGAATCCCTTTGGATCTGAATAGGAACAGAACTGGAGAAACCTCAGGCTCCCCAAGTCCCTTGAGTGTGAGTGGAGCTGGACTGAAGGCAGTTAGAGAGCCACCAGCCCCGGCGGTTCATCATCTCAGAGATACACATGCCTCTGCTGAAGGCTTTGGATACCCTGCAAATGTATATTGGGCAGCTGTCCCTGCAGATGAACTACATGAGCTTTTTGCAGTTTAGACTTTGACCCAGGCAAACACAGGAATTTCTGCTTTTTAATTTCTGATGAAGTGGTGTTTGATTTTATGCGGACTGGGCAATGGCCTCATTTTGTGCCAGCAATAGAAACAAATGTAGATTTTGGTTTTATCGTTAATTGCTCACCTCTGCTGTGATCACTTGGCACTATGCTCTACTGTCAAATCAGACTTCCTTCTGTTCCCCTTCTCCATATCACAGGCTGCTGTAGGTCTTTGCAGCCAAGTTGACTTCTGCTGTGACACCCCAGGAAGTCACTGGTGTCCTGTGATGGGCCTTGGCAGAGCCCAGCGGCCCCCACACTACCAGCATCTGGTCCTGGTCCTCATTTCTAGGTCATCAGTGTGATGCCATGTCCAACTCCACAGTTGGCTCCGAAGGTGCTTATATGTCAGTGTCCACAGATCTTTTTGCAAAGAAGGAAACACTTGGTCAGACTGAGACTGTCAAGTGATAAGTTCATGCAGCTGTACCAGCTTTTGTCCTTCTCTGGGCACACACTGGCAGTATTGTCCAATCCATAAATATGTAAAACTTTCAGTGTTCTTAAAGATGGGTACTTCATGGACAAACTAGTACTCCCCAGAGCAAGTGGTGACTGTAGGTTCATCCCCAGAACATCCTGCAAGATTTGAAGGTATCATTGGTTACTTGAGAAGAGGCATTATAGACTGTTTGGGCATTTCTTAAATCGATTTTTTGTAGCCTTTGTCCATTCCTTTTTATCATCTTCCTCTTTGCCAGTTCTTGGTGCAGTCTTTTGCTCTCTTCTATTGATCAAGCACTTGATTGACTGATTACTTGATTCACCAAGAAGTTTTATGTATTTGCCCCAACACTATTTTTTGTCATCCCAACCTAGATTTATCGCTGGTCTTTCCTGTATGAAATGCAATGTTTTGATAAAAAACAAGATCATTCTCTAATCACCATCCTTCCACACCTCTCCCAGGATATCACCTTTCCTGTGGTCTCCATGAGTCATTTGGAGGCACTAGGTGACACCTTTCTGCATAGACTTCCCTCTCCTGCTGCCTTGGAAAAGCAGTCAAACTTCCATACCTGCCTGTTTCATAGTCTACCCTGTCTTTGGGCTGGGACAACCAGAAGTTCTGTTTGTGGGTCCATTCCCTGCACTCGACTCATCTGGATTAAACACAGACCTTTCTCTCTGCCTCTTCCCCTCCTCTCTTCATGTTTCCTCCTTTCCTGTGTCCTTCCCATCCCGATGGGTGCAGATAACATTTTCTCACTGTCAAAGCTGTAACTCCATGGGTTTTCAAAGGGATGGATTTCATTCCTTACCCACCATCTCCACTATACACTCTCCAAGCTGAAACATCTCCATTTGTTTTCTTGGCCACAGAAAAAAACAAACATAGCAGTTGAGAGGTACATAAGTATTCCAGAATTCACTTCTCTGGTGGTAGTTTAACATTGACCCATGGCCACTTCTGTGGCTCTTGCATAATGCTTTAAACTGAGTGTTTCTTTTGTTTTGTTTCCAGCCCAAGAATTCATTCTTTAATAAAAAAACTCAGAAGTGTCTCTGAAGGATATGGGCTCATAAGCATATGACAGATGTGCAAGCTTGCACTTATGTGGTCCCTGTGGTCTCAGCTACTTGGATTAACGAGGGTCCAGTGTAATCCTTGCTTTCTCCTCTTGCAGATACATGCAAGAGAGACATGGAATGACTTTTGCTTGTCAGGCACCTTCTCTATGCCATCATGTGTGCATGGTTGCTGCTCAGAGAGCCTTGGAGAAGAGAAAGAAAGGCTCTCAGTGTCCTGGCCAAGCATCTGGTTTCTTTTCCTTGTTGCCCCCATGGCTAGAGGAGCAGCACTCCTCTTGTGTAACTTACGCTGCCTAAAGTCTCCAGAAAGTCAGCTGTTAAATCCAACTCCAGATGTTTGTTGTTTGGGAGCTAGCCCTACCTTCCTGCTTGTTTTTCACAGGCCCACATCCTTGTGATCTTTCAAGAGCTTGTCCACCCAAAGCAGCAGAGACCTGCCTCTCCTCCCACACTGGTGCTGGAATTTGAATGTGACGGGTGCTGTGGTCAGAGCTGTGCAAACCTGGCCTTGGCTGGAATTTAGGATCCTAAATCACACAGGTTTGTCTAAAAATAAAATACAGGCTCATAAGTGTCTCAAGCATTTTATCTCATTTTGTGGGGATATGTGAGATATTTCTAAATGGAGTCAGGAATGAAGGAAGCAGCTGGGTACATTTTAATTCTAATTTTTCCTATATATCAAGCGTTAAATTAACAAGCGAGGGAGAACACTACAGAAGAGCAATCTGCTGTTTAGACAGGCATATCAGGATAAAATTACTCTGCTTGCCCATGGTTTGTCTGGATGATCCTGGAGCTGCACCAGTAAAGAGTATAATTGTGCTGCTATTTGAGGTTTCAGATTTGGTGCTGCGAATCCTCCCCTCTGACTATGCAAGGTTTGCTCCATGACATTAGGTAACTATTCCCCATAGGCAATTTTTACCCAGGGAAGGTGCAGAGCTCCTCAGAAGGTGTGGGAGGAAAGGGAGAAGGGCTCAGGCAAGAGACTTCTGTTTGTAATTGTGAGGGTGGTTGGCTCAGATGTTTGTTGGAAAGAGGTTTTCCCTGCAGCTTTTCAGTAGGGGGGGGGTCTAATTGGCACAGGAAAGATTTTGCAGCCAAGAGAATGGTTTCTATTTCTGAATGGTTGGTGCAATGCACACACTATTTCAATATCATCCAATAGATTTAATTTTTCTTTTTCTATAATAAGAATTGCTGTGCTGCCTTCAACTTTGAGTAATTGAGTTTAAAATCAGAACACTCTTCAGAATCTTTTATTTGTTGCGTGATAACAGGCACTGAGGTCTTTGGATCAGTTAACATCAAGATACGTCACCTCCGGGCTCTGCACAGCTGGCCTGTACTGTGCACGTGCACGTCGAGTACTCCTGTCTCTGAGTAAATGGTTGGTATTGACTTTCGCTGAAGCTCAGTCATAAAATGCTTCAGTGCACTGAATATGATGATTTTTTTTTTCTTCAATCCAAGTCCCAAGAGGACTCACTCCAGATATTCCCACTCAGTGAAATATTGTCTCTGCAGCCACAGAAAGCAATCTCCTGAGTATGAACCTTGAAGCAGAGGAACGGGTTATTTCTCAACAACCTTTTGATATTTTCAAACCTTCAATCTTTCAGGGATTTATGGACTTTGCTAATACATAGGACTGACTCTGGACACTAAATGCCTCATTTTCACCAAATCTGTAATTATTCCCTTTGCACATTTCATGTCATATAGCTGTGGGGATAGTATCATTGTTCCCATGTTATAGATGCGAGAGTTGTGCTGCAGAGAGATGCCTGGAAAGTGTACACAAGTCTATTTTGCATTGCTGACTTCCTTTTGCAGTGCTAGTACAGCTAAGGGATGCTTGTGTGTGTATCCTCCTGCGTTTGTTGTGTTTGCTGGCAAATCTGTTATTTCTTCTCCTTGTTTTTAAGGTCTTCTGGCTCCCTCAGTGTGAGCGTTTCCAGAGGTGACTCTTTTCACCTATAAAGCAGAGATGGAACGAAGTGGGAGGAAGCTCCCCCTTCTGCAAGCTGGTGTATTTGACAGCAGAGATGGAGCCTGAGGTTGCAAAAGTCCTTTAAGGAGTATGGATTTCCAGATGTCATTTACTGTATTAAAAGCTGGACACCCAATCCAACTCCGAAATGCTTGAACCTGGGAGTTGCTGGCATCAAACCACTGTGAGTCAGCCATGTGGGACAAATGGCACTTGGTGTCCCAAGGAGCTCCTGAGGGATTGTACTGTGACGATGGATGTGCACAGGCATGTTGAAGAGACGCAGAAGTTAGAGCAAGCTGGACCCAGCTCAGCCCTAATGGCTGTCCCTGAGCTTGCAGGTAAAGACTACCATAGCAGGCAATTAACCCTGTTGTAGGTAGGCAAGAAGGTCAGGACTCACTTAATTTCTTGGCTTATTCCTTATGAGGCTACAAGCTCATTTAATGTTCACACGAAGTTCTGAGTGACCATGTGGACCTGGAGCTCATGATATCTTCCTTCTTTTTCAGTCCACTAGAGCATCCCTGAAAACATTTTTACTTTGATCACAGTTGCTTATAACTAGCAAAGTCACACAGGAAAAACATGAATGTATTTACATGTGGAACCCCCCAGATTTTTGTATAACAAATAAATTTTTATCAAAAATTATTAATTATTAAAAATATTGACTTCTGCAAATTTCCATCAGTTTCAAAGAACTGTAGGGATGTCAGCGTTGCATATTCTTTATGGAGAAGTGTTGGGGCTGCTTGCTTAATTCCGGTTTGAGGGGGAAGAAACCCATAACCAGCAACATCTACTGAATTAATTAAAGGCTGAAACTCAAACTAAAAAATAATCCACAGGTAACAGGTGTGAGGGCACAGTTCTGCTGCAGATGAGGTTTGCATCTGAAAAGTTAGTTCTGATTATTTTTCCTGTCAATTCCTCCAAACGCCAACCCATCAGTCCTTGTTTTCCTTTGTTTCTCCAGTACATTTACATATACACCAAAGACTCGAAAAAGGCAGCACAGATTTCATTTCTCGTTCTTTCTAACCTATAAAGTTAACCCCTGCTAGCACAGATTTCACTACAGCACCCCTGTATTTGCTGCAATGCTGTGGAAATAGCATCAGAAATTATAACACTCCTTGTGAGGACATTACAGCTTCTGATTTGGGTTGCCAAAACATTCCTTCCATGCCAGTTGTCCTCCCTGAAGCTGCCACTGGAAATACTTAACTTCACCTTGGTGTCATCACTGATTGCCTCCTTACCAACATTTTGGACAGGCTCATGGCTGGATTAAAATGTATTTTTCCTGTTTTACATGTTTTCCCAGGTCCCTGAGGCACAAAGTCCTGATGGAGAGGACAGGGCTAGAGATGCTGCTAAAAAGTAATGAAAGCACAATGCAAATAGCATCCTTTTACTGGGCTTTGGGAATGCTCGTGTGTTGACTGGATTTGTACCCTCCAAGCAGTTTCTGGTTAAAAGGAAGCATGAGGAGTACCGTATTGCCCTGGGTTAGATCTCCTGGGACCTGCTGAGGTGTTAGTTGGTTGCACACTTGTTGCTGCACACTTACCGATTGTTTCCATGCCAGCTGCATGTATGCGTCAGCATGAGTTCATATATGTCAGAGACGTGACAATATGATGTTTTCTTTTTGTTTTCTCATTCCACCTTTCCAGGTTGCCAGAGGCTGAAGATCTCCCATTTGGTCTCCAGAGTTCCATGGAAATTACGACAACAATGTTTATGTGCTATTCTAATGTTGGTTTTGGCAGGATAAGTGTTTTTTAATGCATAGCATTAAATAGCATGTCCTATTCTCTCTCCTACAGAATGTTCGTCTGGAGGAATGTAATTCCAGCTTCTGCTTCAGCACGGTTACATACCCACATCAGGCATGGTTAGTGCCACCACTGAGCATTATTTGGTTTATTTGGCATCGTCCATATGAGAGCCATCTTGACAGAATGAGTGTTGTCATCCCCAACAGGATCAGGGATCCTGTAACTGCATACTGAAGGCAACAGGACTATAGAAGGGCATTCAAGGAGTGATGAGCAGTGGTGGCACCCAAGGGGAATATCATGAGATGCTGCCATTCCCATGCAAAAATCCAGCAGGACACAGGTAGTGTGTCACATTGGGTAACTAGTCTCGTGATGGCTCCTAGCCACTGATGGAGACTGGTCTGCTGACTGCACCCACACAGGCTTCTGGCTATGGGTTTGCAGGTACAATTGTAAGCATTGGTCGGGGTGGTGACACTGCTAAGAGTCAAGAAACACCACAAAAGCAGCTTCCTCATACTGGGTGGGTTCCTACAGCTTTTGGTTGTCCGAGCCCAAAACTGCTGGGGAAGGGAGCTCATCCTGAAGCAACACACCTACTGAAGGTACTTAGTGCTGATATATCATCTGATCTGACGGTGCTTTCTTGAACCTTTGCATGTCTTGCTCTCAGAAAACACTGTCTTGAAGAAAACTGGAAGCATCTGTGGAAAAGCAAAAACCTGCAGAGCCTGTGGTAGTCTGTGTGAGGGTAGGGATTTATTCACTCTGCACCAGGAAGTTTGCAGAGTGAAGGCTGCATGCACTATTGTAAGAGACATAATGTGGGCTTAAAATAAACACAATTATTGTGCTTCTGTTGGGAAGTATATGTGAGAAAGACCATTTCATGAGATGTATGAGGGCTCTGACCCACCTTCATTAATGTTGCTATCTGTTTAAAGTGAGTAATTGCAGTCAAGTGCCAGTCACGTTCCTGTTGTGCTGAGAAGTCTCCAGAAGAGGTTCAATTAACAGAAGCTGATGAGCTGCGGTGTGGGGAACCTCAGTAAATCTTTCCCAGATTAGTCATAAGAGCCAGCCCTTGTACAGCGCTTGTCATCAGCATGTGTCAAAGTGTTCCATAAAGTGCTGCCTGCAGCGCTTCCCTTGCACAAAGTAGGGTCATGGATGAGCAAAAGGCTCGCCCAAGGTTGTCTGGGAGCCAGAGGCAGAGCTCAGTTTCTGTGCCCTGGAGCAGTATCTTTGGCCTCTGTGTTGAATGGCACATCTGTTCATAGAGATGTAGGAATCCTGGCTGGAAAACAGCAAAGCATCCTTGGCCCTTGCAGCCCAGGAGACAGAGGCAAATAAGATGTGATAATAACCAGTGTTTCAGGTGCTACCTGGGGGGATTTCAAACACCACTGTTGTCTTCGAGGAGATTACATTCATCAGTTCTCTTGGAAGTTGGCCACCCTTTTGCCTTCACCCAGAGGTGGTTTGCTCTGTGAAGATCTCTGTCTTCCACTTGCCTGCTGCTTCTTTCACTGCAGTGAGGGGCTGTAGCCATTTCCAGCACTGGGCCTTCAACTAGGCACTGATACTCTGCTTTCCTGGTGGGTTTCAGCTCAACAGGTCATCTGTCCTGGTACTCTTCCCATTCAGAGGTGGTGAAAGCCCAGCTGTCTCCTGCCAGGACCAGTGTCTTCCAGGGGATTCCCTTGGGATCCTTGTTCTCTCATGAGCAAGGAGAGATGGCCATGGCGAAGAGACTTTACCTTTTTTGCCAAGGCCATCAGTCTCTGGATGCTGGTAGTCTGAGGCTACCTTGTCCAGGTGGCAAGTAGGAATCTGCCTTCTGCATACAAGAGCTGAAAGATGCAGAACCCAAAGATGCTAACAAGCTAAAAAAAAACAGGAATTGTGTTTCACTGTAAAGAAACCCTCCTGACTGCTTTTCTGTATCTATCTGTATTACTGCTTTCCAATGTCTATGCTTTTCTATATTCACTGTGTGGCTGTAGAGGTTCAAATTTCCCCTGAAGTTCAGCACAAATGAATCCCAAAAGCTGTTCCCCTGGATGCTCCTGTGAGCTCCTGGCAAGGAGGTCAGAGAAGACATGAGGGATGCTGGAAACACACAAGCAGCAGAGAAGCAAAACATCTCCTCGGTGTTTCTGTGACTGTGTTCATCTGAAGTGACAGTCCACGTCCTGTACCTGCCCCAGCTTGGACATTTAAAGACCAAAAGTTGCTCCAGCACCAGAGTCAGCAAAAGCCCAACAGAGGCTGTTGGGGGAGGTTTGGTGACTGGAAGCTTTCTGCCTGGTGGGCAGGCAGGGCAATGCTGTTCATGGCTTTACTTGGGGTCTGTTGTATCTTGTAAAGATGAAAGGGTGTTCCCAGCTCTCACCTGCTCTCTCAGAGTGGGGGGATCGAGTTTGAGGGAAAACCGATGAGAAAATATTTACTAACCTAACTATTAAGTGAGGTCTCTCTATTGGAGAATTTAATCTTGAGGACATTGTTATCTCTGTTAGGTTTTCTGTATCTTAGGTACTCAATAAATGATTGCTAAAGTAATTCGGCATTCTCCTCTCAGTCAGAGAACACAGCACCATGTCAGCTCTCCAATGACACTCTCATTCAGTAAATAAACACAGGCAGGGTAGGTACATGGGTGATAAAACTCTGACAGCAGGTCTGAAACACAGGTCTGGAGCTTCAAAAAGTGTTGGAAACACTCTGTGGCCGGAGGCTGTAGGAATGAGGTAAGCAAGAGCCACAGGAAGACATCCACAGGAAAATGACTTCAGAAATAGTTATGGGATGGCAACAAGGTGGTGCTTAGCTATGCCATGGAAATATCTACTCGACTCCCCACCACTGAAGAAAGTGTGGTTGTCTGTCTCTCCATGACCTGGGGCTCCTCCTCATGCCTTACATTTTCCCTGGACAGGTTTGGAGCCCCGACATTCACAGAGGTGCTTTCCTTTAGTGGTGACACCCAGCATAGCATCCTGCATCAAGGCAGACTTACCTTTCTGTTGTTCTCCCTCCCTCCCTTTCTGGGATGGACCTGTTGGATCTCCCTTTGGCTTGCCCCCTCTGGCTATATGTGTCCCTTATCTGCGCTGCATTCCCACTACTTGCAGCCTAATATATCAGCTGTGTGGGGCTGTGCATGCAGCCCCATATCATGATGCCCACTCAAAAGTTTTTTCAGCTTAGTTGTATCACGGATGGGTGACTTTGAGCACTGGAATTGGAGATCCAAGGTTCAGCCAGGGACACTGCCACTGCGGTCCCATGGGGTCCGAATGCAGCTTTGTCCTCTTGTCCCCGTGAGATGCAATTCATCCTCATGTACGACAGAGCACTTCCATTCTGTCTCTTCAGACCTGGGTCAGGCTTAATACAGTCTGTGAGAAAGGCTTAAAACAGCAAGGTATGAGATTGAATTATGGTCTAATCTGCCACTAATAGAACCTGACCAGCTCTATTATTCAATGTCAAATCACT